ATTTTCCGGCAATCATACCGATGAATCATACTATCCAGTTGTGGGTGCGAATAAATTTCGAAAGAGAATTATTCGAGAAATAAACTCTCATTGTTCCTGTGCGCGACTCATTAAGGCAGCATTGTCAGAATATAACTATGCCAAACGAGAAGTCATCCCTCAAAGAGTCTCGGTATTCCACAGTCTTTTCACCGAAATGTCGAAGCCTAAGCCGAGACATTTCCGCAAGAGAAGATCAGCTTTCCAAGATGATGAGTTCCCTAAAGTCACCATCAACATGGCTGATAAAAGAAAATCTAAGCGGCATTCAAGTGAATCAAATCCCGACTTTTCCCTGGAAGGAAAAGTCAATTCAAGAATTGCTCAACGGATGTCTCGACTCCGTTTAAAAGCCATGAGACGTAAGGATTACAAGAAAATGCATGAAGGAAAGTCATCAGAGGACGAGCTCTCGGACACTTGTTCTGCGATCGCTTCGGATGATACAGTATCTAGCACAGGGCAAACCAGAGAAGTACTCATAATCACCTCTGATCAGTTCGCTCAAATACTTCAAGAAGCTCTAGCCAAACAACGTGAAGAAATTAGGACTGAGATGAAGATGGAGATAGAGTTGGCTATTCAACAAATGAGAGAATTGCTAGCTCAACGGTCTCAACTTCCTGAGTCCAGTCAGCGAGCTAAATCCAGCCGTCGCACTCAAAATATTGCAGATGACAGTGATCCGGAAGTGGATGAAGTCATCTTTGCTGATGCACCTCCTAATAACGATAACACTGGGGGTGGTTCAACGGATCCTCCCAACAACGATATTGGGGGTAGTTCAATCGCACCTCTTAATGATATTGGGGGTGACCCAATTATTTCTCCTCGATATCACTCAAAGAGAGATGAAGATGAGGATAAGAAAATGCAAGACCTTGAAAACAAAGTCAATGCTTTGATGTCCGCTCAGGAAGTAAAGAAGACGGGTATTCCGTATCCCTATCCAAGAGAATGGGATTCAATACCGTACCCGGCAAAGTTCAATCTAATTAACTTCACACCATTTGATGGGAAGAGCTCGCCTACTCAGTACTTGATTTATTTCAAGTCTCATTTGGGCATGACCTCTGGAAGTGAGGCTTTAATGGTCCGGTCATTCGTTGGCACCCTTCGTGGGCCCGCCTTCGATTGGTACCGACGTCTCAAGCCAGGGAGCATCAATTGCTGGGATGACATGGAAAGTTTGTTCCTCAGCAATTTCTTCGATGATGACACCGAAATGTCAATCGGAACCCTTCTGGATGAGAAGCAAAAAGACGGAGAGTCAGTCGACAATTTTGTCAAGCGCTTCCGTAACAAGGCAATGAATTGTAGAGATTCTATTACAGAGGAGTTCATCCTGCAAACATGCCACAATAATCTCTCCATCGATGTCCTGGAAACCCTGGGGGTCGTACCATCCAAAACTTGGAAAGATTTAAAAATGCACGGTGAACAAGCTAAACACTTTCTTAAAAGAAAGAAAGCTGAGAGAAGCCGACCGACGACATCTACAATCGCTGGGAACGCGACGAAGATGATGAAGCTCCAGCCATCTTGGAATACCTCCTCGCCAATGACAAAATCGAGCTACCACGTATTAAAGATCAGGAGGGAGCTAAGAGGATTACGGATCCAAACTACTGTGCGTACCACAGAAGGGTTCTTCATCCCACCGAGATTTGCTTCGGACTCAAAAATAAAATCCAAGCCTTAATTGACTCCGGCGTCATAACGGCAAAACAAGCCAAGTAAAGACGACTCTAACTCCATTGGGTGCACGAGTATAAATTGTTTACCCTCACTCCAAAGAGTATACGAGTATAAACTGCTCCTCGATACTCCAACAGGTATATGAGTCAAAACTATTTCTTTTCTTTCACGGGAAATTCCTGGAGAGCACCATGCATGGTACTCTTAAGGATAACCCGATCATGCAGCTGAATATAATGATAAACCCAGTTTCGTAAGGAAAGCTGGGGGTGGATGGTTCATGTAACGGGAAGTTCTCGGAAGAATGCTATATGTAATTTTCTTAGGGATAACCCGATCATTACAAACAAAGTGATAAACACTACATCCCCACGGTGATTTCCGAATACTCTTTTGCTGAGATGAGATTCGATCACTTCGTTGGATCAATCTTCCCTCACAAAATCCTCATTTGGTCAAACCTTTTAACAGTTAGGACCACAACCAAAATCCCCTCTCGATTCCTTCATGAACGAGAGGTCCACAAATTGAACGATCAAACCTTTAAACAGTTAGGATCGTCTCAAACCCCTCATTTGGTCAAACCTTTAAACAGTTAGGACCAAAGCCAAAATCCCCTCTCGATTCTTTTCATGAACGAGAGGTCCACAAATTGAACGATCAAACCTTTAAACAGTTAGGATCGTCTCAAACTCCCACTTGGTCAAACCTTTAAATAGTTAGGACCAAAGCCAAAATCCCCTCTCGATTCGTTACATGAACAAGAGGTCCACAAATTGAACGATCAAACCTTTAAACAGTTAGGATCGTCTCAAGTCCTTATTTGGTCAAACCTTTAAACAGTTAGGACCAAACCCAAAATCCCCTCTCGATTCCTTCCATGAACGAGAGGTCCACAAATCGAGCGATCAAACCTTTAAACAGTTAGGATCGTCTCAAACTCCCACTTGGTCAAACATTTAAACAGTTAGGACCAAAGCCAAAATCCCCTCTCGATTCCTTCCATGAACGAGAGGTCCACAAATCGAGCGATCAAACCTTTAAACAGTTAGGATCGTCTCAAACTCCCACTTGGTCAAACCTTTAAACAGTTAGGACCAAAGCCAAAATCCCCTCTCGATTCCTTCCATGAACGAGAGGTCCACAAATTGAACGATCAAACCTTTAAACAGTTAGGATCGTCTCAAACCCCCACTTGGTCAAACCTTACTACAGTTAGGACCACAACCAGAATCTTCTCTCGATTCGTTACACGAACGAAGGGTTCATTTTCAAGTTGAATAATCAAACCTTATGACAGTTAGGATTATTCAAACCCGTCCAGATTCTCTAAGTGGAGATCCCACTTTGAGTTTCCTTTGCACCTGGAGATAGAATATAAAATTCTTCCTCTCCGATTTTGGGTTCATCTCTACCAACAAAAAAAAGAGAGACCGGGAGATAGAATATAAAATTCTTCCTCTCCTGGGTCAGGTTCATCTCTACCAACAAAAAAGAAACCAAGACACTCCGATGAGTATATAAGTATAAACTGCATCTCCTTGAACCTCCCAACGGGTATATGAGGTTAAACTATTTCCCGAACACTCCAATATAGTATATGAGTATAAACTATTTCTCCAATCTTCAACAGCAGTTCTGATTCAAGACTTTAACAACGGCCACGCGATAAACGCAGCACCGGAGGAATTTTAGCTATTCTACAAAGCACTGAATATGTTAGAAGATGAAGAAGTCAAGAATTGAAGCCATTTATAGACCACCTTACGCAACTTCCTCAACAAACTACTGAAGAAATTGCAAGGAGAACTTATCATATCCAAAGTGTCCCAGACTCCTCTCCAAAATGATGAGTCTGAGATACTTTGGAGGGAGTATCTGTACGCGTCAAAAAATGCTTACAGACATCCAAATACCACTCAAGGCAAAGAGAAGACGATAAACGTCATTCTCTTAATCAGAGGGAATCATTCAAAGGAAGTGAGACAACATGTACACACCAACAGACAGCACATGACGGCGCGGCTGAAGCGCGACAGCCCTTGGTGCCGCGGCTAAAGCGCGGCAGCCCATGGTGCCGCGGCTAAGGCGCGGCAGCATAGGGTGCCGCGGCTAAGGCGCGGCAGCATAGGGTGCCGCGGCTATTATAGGGGAGTTTGAAGCCCACGTGGCAGCATATCAGAAATAGAACGTGTGCTGACGTGGACAAGCAGTTAAACCACGAAAAAGTGGTTAAAGGTCGTGGGAGAACAGTTTCAAGCACGATGGAACGTGCTGGTAACCGCCTCCTTGACCGCGGCAGTCCACACTGCCGCGCCAATAGCCGCGGCAATGTCGACTGCCGCGGCCAAAGAACAGTCATCTGGTCGGTTACTTCGCCCCCGTTTCAACTGTGTACACTCCTACCCCTATAAATACCTCACTAGACACGAAATAAAGAGGGGAGGGCAGATTGGAGTAGAAAAAGACTTGAGCTTTTGTTGATTTTAAGCAAGAGAGAGTCTTCCTTCTTCACAAACATTCTCAAGAATAGCTTTTGGCGATTCCTAGAGATCTAAGCTCTGACTTGATCTTTAGAAGAGTGAACATCTTACATTGATAAGATATTCGCTTTAAATTCTTACTTCGATAAACGAAGGAAGAATTCCCAAAACCTTCACGATTCAATCAGAATCTGTGAATCGGTGGTCCACGGGCTAACGCCCCCCCGGCACAGGCAAAGATCTCACGCAAGCAGTGATCCAAACAACGATCCTGCTAAAAGAAGTCTTATAAAAAGGCTATCTCTTTCGAATTTGTTGTAATCGATCGAAGATATAATGAATTCCATGACAAAACCAACTTTTGACGCAAACAAGTATAAAGTGATTTCATATGCTGATGTGGCTTGTAAAGTGATTTCATAAAAAAAAACATGATTTTAGAAGAAAGCTGATATTGAAATCAGGAAAAAATAATAAAAATTAATTCCAACCAATATGATCATTTGAGTAGGGACCACTTTTTACACTTTCCAAACAAACAATTAAAGTTACATTTGCAAACCAAAAAAGCAATTTATGATTCCAATGGAATCATAAACAAACAAAGAAAAGTATAAAAATGAAATTGATGAGGTGGACAACAACTTTCCAAATTGTGTCATAAATACACAACTTTACAAACAACAACCAAACAGCCCCTTAGCACTTCTTGGCCTTGGCCTATAAGATTCTTGAACTTCAAATTAATAAACACCTACCATCAAGGAGGTACAGTGCAGCTGAACAAACAAAGAAAGTTCGAAGAATTAAATTTGCGCAATAGTATTTAAACACCTGAAGAAGCAAGGTTTACATACTAAAATTTCTACAACTAAAACTAATTTTAGCAACACGAGATCTATGATTTGAAACATTTTGCAGTTAGTAATACTAAGACAAGAACATTCATGATATAAGACTCGAAGAGCAGCGAGAGGCAAGTTCAAATGACCCACATGCTCGCGGGTCCACAATCAATCCTCATCAGAGCTCTCATATGCCAAGCCAAGCAAAGTTTTCACAGCATCCTCGGGCTTAGACTCGGTTTCAGCTCCAGCTGATTTATTAGAAGTATCTCTAGGTAATTTCTGCTCAGAGTGCAATGGTGGAGATGGGTTCAACTGCTCTCTAATTTGTTCTGGTGAAGCAACATCAACTCCTGATCTCTCTTGAGTTCTTTTCGAAGATACCTGGGAAGGCATCGATGAGCTCAATTGACAATCACTTGGGCTGTTGACTCTTTGTTTCTTTGGTTTGATTTCTACTATGTGCTTCAAAAGATCTTGCTGCCTGTACTTCGGCAGTGCATATGGTAAATTTCTAACCCTCCAGAAAATTAACGGGAAAGTTAACGGTAATAGGAAGTTACCTGATCCCACTCTTAGGCTTGGGTTCAACTCGGAGAGACAAGGGAACTGATGCAGGTGAAGAATCTGCTAAGTTGGCTGCTTTGTATCAGTTCGTTAAAATAAAACAAATTAATTTTGAATAACTTCCAAAAGCATGAACAACTGTGTAGGTGTATTTTGAAAGGTGTATGGTTAATTGATTCGAGACACTAAAGGATATCTTAAATGCTGCAAAAGCTCGTTTCTCTGTGCGACGTAATAGTCGCTCTGCATCTTCCTCAGCTTCCATTTGTTCCTTGAGGTAGAGGAGGTCATCACTGTCCAAGGCTGCTCACAAAGGATTAATCATATAACTGAAATAATATCAAGGCATGGTTTAAATGGATGGAATGAGAAATGAGTACCGCCACGCCCATGAAGATAGCCTCCACGTTCACCAGCAACCTCCTGCATCTGTTAGCATCAACAGCCCCCATAGGAGAAGCCAAGATCCCTGCCGGGGCATGTTATCAGCTATGAAGCACGGACACGCATAACATGCAGCCGTGTCGTGTCGTGTCCGTGTCGGACACACGTGTCGAACACACGTATCCTATGTATTTTTTAGGATTTGCCTCGTGTCGGCGTGTCGGCGTGTCGGCGTGTTGGATGGCCGTGTTGGATCCGTGTCCGTGCTACATAGGTTATCAGAACTCTACATCTTAAAGTATATATAGGGAATATTTGTGGTGTGTTCATTCAGGCATCCAACACTGTGAACATATAACGTATTTAAAAATGTAGTGGTACTCCAGTACCAAAAGAATTCAGTGATAAAATAGTATATGAGTAGAAATCATAGCCAGAAGACGACTACTAGCTAACAACGGGTAATGTTCATCTAAAATTTTGCATCTATTTCACTTCTTTTTTACTTTTCTTTTGAACCATAAGAAAGGACGACATGGTACCGAGGAAGCCGAAAATAATACTGTAGAAGTGTTATAAATGGTTCCTTCACAAATCAAATATTTGTGTGCATACATACATGAGGGTTTTGTGCATATATGTTTCCCAAATCTTCTATATTTACAAAGTTACCACTCAAATCTTAGTATTTTGCAAAGTTACCACTCAAATCTCAAAGATTGGGTCCCCTCCCCCCTCAAGGTTGACAGTGTTAGATACAACCAGATAGTGAATGAGTTTCCCTATCATTAATTCTCAACAACAATGGCCTCAATTAATTACCACAATTAATCACTTAAATCTCATATCGCATCCGTTTTGATCATCTCATGCTCAAATCAAGTGTCCTCGCTTTCTTTTGAGAAACAAATCAGAAAAAATATCACATTGATTCTCTTGATTTTGAAGAATTTGTCAATGACACCATGAGGAAGTGGCCAGCATAGGTGGAAGGGGATGCAGCAAACACTTGTGCTTCTCCATCAAAACTGAGGTCGATGGGGGAAAAGGGGGAGGGGAAGGACTTAAGAATGGACATGGATTGGAGAGGTTGTTGGCAAGGCAGAAGAGGACAGAGGTAATGGTTTCTGATCAAGGAGGGGTTTCTTTGTGTTGTTGCCTTGTTGGTGATGATTGTCCTCTTCATCTTTGGTTTTCAAGTTCACTGAGCTGAAGCAAATCATTCCCAATAAAATCTTCACCCAAGATCATGTTGCCTTCTCCACAACCCAACCCACCATGCCATATTAACAAGCATCATCAAAATATAGTTGTTCTGTTGGGCTTGGATCTTTTTTTCTTCTCTTTCAATCATCTCTTTCAGTTAGACATATAATAAGATCTAATTAACTAGTGAAGGGTATATTAGTCGTGAGCCGTAAAATCTTACCAAAATAACAGAATTTTGGGGAATATACTAGGTGTATTCCCTAAGATAATAAGGGGTAGAAAATTACAATATTAAAGAATTGGGGAATATTTGCAAAATACCGACTTTTGGGGGTTAAATATGGAAAAAAAACCTATACATAAATAAATGTACGTATGTGCATCAAATAATGTGTTTGAAAAAGATAAAAATAAAGTATTAGTATTCTTTTATTATTTAGTCTTTTCTAGTTATGGTTGCTAAGCATGCAGTTTATGTGAGTAGTAGCTGCAAGAGGTTAAGCAGAAATATGATATAAACTGGAAGACAAAATGCATATGAATTTCATGTTTCCAAGTGAGCATGTTGCGAATATTGAATGAAGATGGCGAATGACAGGACTCTTAAAACCGACCGTAATGAAATAATCAGTGAAGTGGTATGAGGACAATGGGCAAGATCTCTTCTTTTTTTTCTTTTCTTTTTTTTCTTGGCATGCATAAACTACTTCTGCTTTTAAAGGGGTGCTTTTTAGAAGCAACTTGAGGATGCTTTTAAAAGCAGCTTCTGCTTTTTCGTAGATTATATATATACTACATAAACACTTTAGTTTTCGACAATGATCTTTAAGCACAGTTTAGCCAAACAACTTAACTGATTTTGCAAGCATGCTGTGGACATATAATTACCAAGCGACTATTTTCAGCAGTCCAAATAAGTTACTTCTATAAGTTGCTGATATAAGCAACTTCTTATAAGCTCCAGCAATACCAAACTGGCGCTTAGATTGGGAGCCATAGTCCAAGGAAGGGAAAGCACAGTGGATTTTCTACAGAACTTCTGCTCAACTCTTGATGCGACCAACCAATAAAAGATGCTAATGAAAATTAGCCAGAACTTCCAATAATGATTTGCTTCTAAATACCTAATATTGAGCATGTGTGCACATATTGCAAGGTTAAACTCAAATACAAACATTATTCTGATCAATCGGTAGATCAAATACAAGACTAATAACTAGAATGCATCATCGTTGACCTGGCACGCATTCATCAATCTAAAAACAAATTTAAAAAAAAAATCAGAGGAAATCGTATGGAAGTGCCGATCAGCTAACCTTTGCAACCATGCGTTGGAAAGTGATATCCTCGTCGTCGATCTTATCCTTTCCCTTCCCCCATTTCTTATCTGCTCAATTTTACCATGAAAAAGTTCACAATTTTTATAGCGAAAATTTTGCGAAACCCTAGGATCGCTGTTCAGGGTTAAAGGTAGTACCTTTGGGGTCGCTGAGATTGGTGTACTCCCGAACTTCTCTTCCCGCCATGAAATTAGCTTGTAAATTTCGTGATAATTGAGAGGAAACCCTAGAAGGAATCGAATGGGGGCAGCGGTTTCGAGCTCGCTCTCTCTCTCTCTCTCTCTCAGCTTCGGAGAGATAGATTTATGAACTTTGATCGTCGCTCTGAGACCTGGACCCCGCCGTTGCGGGTGGGGGATATAGGGCGGTAGCGGGTGAAGCGGGCCGGGTGGCGTAGAAAGCCGGGCCGGGTCACAACTACAAACCCATTATACGTCTCTATCTTATCACACGTATAGAGTTCTTTCAGAATTTATTTATTCAATAAGGCCCCGTTTGGTAAAAGGTTAATAAAGAGGGGTTAAAGAGAATGATTAATGTACTTAGTCCATTTGATAATTCGAAGGACTAAATTATTAACCCGTTAAATAAGTTTTTTTTAGCCCTTATGATCAGTTTTAGTGTTTGGGAATAACAATGATTTTGACTATTTTCTTTATAATTAGAAGGGTTAACTCTTATTCCATCTAAATAGGAGTATTAGTAAACCCCTCATTTTGAGGGGTTAACTCATTTTAACCCCTCTAGAGGGGTTAACTTAACCCTTCTATATTTTTTATGTTTTGGCAAATTATGGAGGGTTAACTCACTTTAACCCTTATATAGATTTGTTGTGTTTGGTAGATTAAGAAGGGGTTAAGTCTCCTTAACCCCTCACTTAACCCTTTGCCAAACGGTACCTAAATTTTTAAAATAGACTCGCTACCATATTTTTATCACAAAAATCAACCCAATATCTTTTTTATTAGCGAAACCGACCCAGTTTCTGCCACGTAAGTTTCGTGGCTAGAGACTGGGTCAATTTCTAAAAAAACGTGTTACTCAATTAGTCGGGGTTGACGACCCCGACTAATTAGTATGTGCTTGAGATCCTGATTCAAGTCTTGTTGGCTTTGGTAACCTCGACAACTTTTTCTGTGCAGAATTGGTCGCTGTTGGCCAATTTCAGGCTCCGATTGGCCGGTATCCAAGTAATAGGAGTTGGCAACCCCGACTATTTGGTGGAGACTTTTGAAATTAGTTACTCAAATAGTCGGGGTTAGCAACCCTAACCATTTTGGTTGGCAACCTCTTAGAACTGCTTCTAATTAGTCGGGATTGCCAACACTGACTAATTAGAAGTTCTTTTTTTTAACAACCCAATTTCCGGCCATGATGCTGACATGACCAAAAACTGGGTCGATTTCACTAAATAATAGTGAAAGGGGTTGAATTTTAGAAATAAATTAGGGCATTGGATTGTTTTAAAAATTTCTCCTTTATTTATTTATTAGTGATTAAAATACTAGCACAAACTGCAACTTTCTATTCTTCACTGATTTCACAAACCTCTTTAATTATGTGTCCTAAAAAAATGAATCCATATCCTCTCCAATTAGGTGGTAATTGGAATAGACCCCTCTTTTTATTCTTAGTGTTTATCTTAATTCCAACAAATGAGATCACACGTAGTTAGATTTCTATTGTTATCTTAAAAGCCACTTTAATCTTAAAAACCGCTAGTAAACTTGAAAGCCACTATTTGTGGTAGTAGAAATTTTAGGTGGTATTGTTACATCTATTGAAATTGAGATAGAATGTAAATATTAAAACAATTGGACTCTCTCTAATTACCACATAATTGAATAGGATCTGGGAAAAAATTTGTCTTTAAAAAAGCTTGACGTGCACTTGTTGTTGAACCTTAAAAAACATGCAAAAAGAAATTTGAAAAATAAAAGTCACATGAGATTTGAATTCGTGACTTATAGAGTGAAAATTAAAAGATATTTTATGACCACTTAAACTGAAAGAAAGATATCATGTAGAAGGTGTTATATAATCTAATCATGAAGGATCTCTGCTCCTCAATTTGGTGCAGATAGATATCTCAGAAGATATCAAATAAAAAATCCATAATGATTCTCATTAATCCTTTAATAATAAAAAAATAGACAAACAATATCTCTTGTTAGGGTCTGTTTGGTACATATCCGAAAAAAAAAAGAAAACATAAAACTAGTTTGAAAATCATTTCTGGACATTTCATAGAGTTTCCCCCATTTGACTTATTTGGTATGTTTCACATTGAAATCATAGGCTGGAAAACAAGAACTTTCATTTCTTGGGTTTGTTTCAACATCCAAAAATTAAGAAATACTATGAGTTTTCCAATTAAATATTCAGCGACGGGACATTAAATAATAACTTTTACTTCCGGTCGTCGTCTCAATAGTGCTTTGAGCAATATTAAATTTATTGACATGACATTTCTCACTTATTTCAGACTCAAAAGCTCCGAAATAGGTTTTCTCCAAATTTTGACGTGACACCTCATTTCAACCCCCTTTTCTTTAAATCACCCAGCGAAGCAAACGTTGGAAATGGAAATATCTTGAAACCAAAATCCTATATGGCTAAGGGGTCAGATTTCAAATCGCTCATTTCTCTCTTTATTTGCGCAAACAAACAACCTATTATCCAAAAACATCACATTCTTTCAAAAGGAAAAGGAAAAGCATCTGATGTTTAAAGAAAAGGTCTTCAATCAAATGATTCTTGCAAAGAAAGTTACATGAGAGTAGGTATAAAAATGAGAAAAAAAAACCCTAGGTGAAAATAAGTGATAGCTGCCTCCATCAACAAAAAGGTAGGGGAGAGGTGATAGTCACCACCATAAAAAAAAAGGGGACTGATCCATCTCTAGCAACCGCTGAAATTCAATAGAGACAAAGAAACAACTTTGGTTTTGGCTACTTTGTTAGCAAGGCAGATCTAAGAACCCAAGCTTATTGCGAAACCCATAGAGAGCTCACTATGGGTAATGGAGTTTAAGACCTAAAGTCATAGCTACATCTGATTGCCATCGAGATTCATTGTAACTTCAAAGTTCAACGGTTGAGTCGTCTCTCACCTTTATGCTTGTCGAAGCCATGATAGCTCTCCACCAATGCAGCTAGCCAAAGCCACACCCTATATACATCATGTAAGGATCATGAATTTTCGATACTAGTTAAAATATTTTTTTGGTATTTTAAAATATTTAATTATTATTTTTAAAAGAGTATTTGTATTTTCTCGATTTTCTAGAATTTTCTATGATTTAAAAATATGATTTTATATTTATTTAAATGATTTTTGTATTTTCTCGATTTTCTAGAATTTTCTATGATTTAAAAATATGATTTTATATTTATTTAAATGATTTAGATATTTATAATTTATTTATTGCAGTAAAAAATTTCTAGAATTTATCCGTTGTGTTATCGATACTATTACGTACTATTTTCAATAATACGTTGTATTATTGTTACTATTACGTATTATTTCGTGTATTATGTTGTATTATTCTTTACGTATTATTTATGTAATTTGTTGTATTATTTCTACAATTGCATATCAACTGTCGTATTAGCATAACTGGTACGTTTTATTGTATAGATAATTATCCTATAATTATTTGATTTTAAATATAAATAATTATATTTTTATTAATTATTCTTGTTTAATTGTACAATTTATTGTATTATTTCTTTTGTTGCGTATCAGCGGTTGTATTAATACAACTGGTACGTTTTTATTTGTATATAATTATTCCGTAATTATTTTAATTTTTAAATACCCGTAATTATTTATTTTAATTATATTTTGTTTAAATACCTAACCCTAACCAATATTATATAAGTATATAAATAACCATCTCCTCTCTCGCTCACTAGCTGTTTCACGAAACCACGCCGTCACAGCAATCATTATCTCGCTCTTATCTCTGCCCCTCTGTGGTTCATGCTCTACCGCGACCGCCGCCCACTCTCAGCCCCTTTGTCGGCACAGCCCTTGAAAGCCTGTCACCGCTCTCCCGTTGACCGCGCTCCGCGGGCGACCGACACTCCAGGCTCGCACAAGCTCCGACCCACTCCTCCCTCCCCTTCGGCCTAGCCACGACGTTCCCAGCCCTCGTCGGCCTTCGGCCTCCCCTCCTCCAGCCCGATACTCGCAGGGCCCCTCCGCTCGCTGGCTCCTCGTCGACCGGCCTCGCGCCCCTTCCCGACCGCGCCGAACTGCCTCAAGCTCGCGCTCGCTCGTCTGACCATCCCTTCCCGCTGTCCCCTGTCAGCTAACGCGCACGACGAAGCCCTACAGCCAACCCTCATCCCGCCGCTCGCTCTCACCCCGCTCCAAGCTTGCCATCGAGGATCAGGTCCTCCAAAACCTGAGCTAACCGCACGCAGCTTCCACTTGCCCACACCCCCGCTCCAGATCGCGGCTTCTCCACACCTTCGCCTGCCGCGATCTTGACGAGCTCGACCAGCAGACCCACCTAAGCCGCCATCAGAACGCACTATCTCGACCCCCTCGCGCCTTCTCCTGCAACGCCAACTTCGCCAAGATCCACACTCCGCCGCCGATGCACTGAGTTCGCGCGAGCCGACAAACCCCCTATTCGTTGCTGTCAACCTCTCACAAGACCCGCTCGCCCTCGTGCCCGAGCTCAACCAGCGACCGCGGCAGCTTGGCTGCCGACAAGCCACCCCTCGCTGTCATCGTCATTCAGATCTTATTTTAATATAATTAATAGGAGATTAATTATGATTTATGGATATTTATTTTGATAAATATAGTTAAATGGGGTATGAGTATGATACCATGTATTTTGAGTATAAACAAATTCATTCATGAGAAAGAAAAGAGTCGAAACATGCACAATGGCCAAATATGTGTAACTAGAAAATTCCAGTCCGGTCGACTGCCGTGATCGACCGCAGTCCGGTCGACCGTCACGGTCGACCGCGAAACCTGCAAAAATCAGATTCCTGTTTTGAGTTGGTTTTGGTTTTCTAAAGCCCATATTCGTTTTCCCTGGTTTATATATCAAACTTTCACGAATTTTCTTAGTTTTCTAAGAACCCTAACAGCCACCAAACCCCCCACAAACCCTAATTTGATTCTTGGAGAATATTGGAGGCTTTCAAGTAGATTTTTCGGGTGATTTTGGCTTTTGAATTGGAGATCTGCTTTGGCTTGGCATCCTAAAATGTTTTTCTACAAGTTTCAGGCGAGTTCATCTCTGTTAATCCCCCTCCTAGTTTTAAAAACATTTTTTTGAAATTTTT